CGCTGGGCGTGGCGGGGGGAGGCCCGTGGCTGCTCCTTTACCGCTGTAGTGCCGCGGGGCCCTGTTGTGCTCGCGCAAAGACCCTCCCTGCTAGGGATCAGAACGTGCTCGTCTGAACCCGACAGCCTTGTCTCGCTCCTGGAGCAGCCGAGAGCAGGCCCTGCTTGTGTGGGGGCCCCGGAAAGGACGCTGGGGGGGCGGCGCACCAGCAAGAGTGACCCCTCCTGGGGCTGGCCCTGCCTGCGCGATGAGCCCCGCTCCAGGGGACCCAAGCACCAATCTGAATTCTTAGCAGCGCCGGCCGCGTGCTCTCACGTTTCATCCTCCGCGTGAAGGGGCAGCGCAAGTGCCAGGCCACGCCCCTGCTTCCCGCTCCGGCTCCTCTTCGGGGTCCCTCTCCTGGCGAGCCACGTGTGTGTCACTCGGCCCATCTGGGCTTGTCTCCCTCAGACGAGCAGCCCTGTAACCGCGCGCCCCGTGTGGCCGATGGCCCCACCAGCAGCGGGCCTGCGCTGGGCTGAGCCCTGGAGGTGGGCAGGCGGTCGGGGCTGTGCAGGGTGGTTTCCAAGGGAAGACCAAAGATGGCTGTGTGTTCTCAGGAACGACTGCCCGGAGGTGGTGGGGATGCCACCGCTACCAGGATCCCCATGGGAGAGGACAGCAAGGACAGGGCGGAGAAAGGTCGGTGTGCTTGCGCTTCTCTCCAGTGTGAGGAGCCCCGGCTTTTGCCTGGGGAGAACGGTCTGTGACAAACGGAGCCCTGCCGACCGGAGTCCTTCCCCGTGGCTGAGGCTGGGGAGAGGGGCATGGGAAGGCTGCCTGTGCTGGGGGATTGCTGGCTGGCCCGGGAGGAGGAGGCGCTGTGGGCCGGGGTGCCGGTGTTCGCTGGTCACGGGGCCGTGGCGGGGGAGCGTGGTTAAGGGGGTGAAGCTGAGGGGTGACATTTGGGAAGGGGGGTGTGAGGAAAGGGCCTGACAAACCCACTGCAGTGATAGGGCTCAGGCGCCATCGGCTCGAGCAGGTTCGCGCTTTCATTTGGCAAGAGCCTGGCTCCGAGGCCCGCGAAGGCGAAGGACCCTGCCCTGCCTCACTGCGGTTCTTGGCTCCGTCCCTCTCCAGGCCTGGGGGACGTGGCTGCCGAGCTGGAGAAGGAGCTGGCTAGCGCCCGCGAGGACCTGGCGCTAATGGCAAGAAAGGAGAGGGAAAGCAGGGTGAGGCTGGGGAGAGACCCAGAGGCTTGTTTCACTCCAGACCAAATCCAGCCAGACCTGCCTGCGCCCGGCCC